TTTGTGACCCCATCTGGGGCTGCCAGGGCAAGGATACCGGAGTGGTTGGCCACTTCCTTCTCCATGTCATTTTATAGATGAGGAAACTGAGGCAAACAGGGTGAAAGGACTTGCTTGGGGTCTAGGCTAGATTTGAACTCAGGAGGATAAGCCTTCCTAACTCCAGGACCAGCACTCTATGCACTATGGCGCCACCAAGCTGCCATTTGAGTCAAACTCCTTCCTAACAATTGTCTCTTCCCTCCTGAACTCGTAAACCTTTATATCTGCAAAGTGCTTGGCACAGGGCCTGGCACATAGGAGGTGCTTCACAGATGCCTGTTCCCTCCTCCTGCCCTCATCCTTATTGAGTTGCGCTCAATACTTTCGGCTGTCTTTTTGGATCCTGACCAGTTAGCATTAGCTATCTCTCCTAGCTTTGTGTCATCTGCTAACTTGTATCCCCAGTGAGCATCACTAGAGTGGCATCTTCTGATCCATCTCAGACACAGAAATCTGAACTGGATTGCATCTGTAGGCCTCAAAGTTAGGGATTCTGTATATTAGCCCTATGCCTGGCTTAGGCAAGAAAGTGAAGCCAAGTGATTTGTATTTTAATGGCAGAGAGAAAGACTCTGCCCATGGCTACGTGTGACAATTCTGACGGAAGGGAGACACAGAAACGCATCTGGTCTGGTGGTCTGGTGAAGATGCACAGTCGGTAGGCTTCCATTTTAAGTTAACCTGCCTCCAAGTTGCCTTTCTGTGCTAATTACAAGGCCCAAATGGCTGGAAAAGTGCTCTGAAAATTCTAAGGCTGCGTCTTTAAAGGTGGCTGGGTACACCAAATACATTGGGACTCCCAACAGCACGTTCTGCTTGGATGTCCAGAAGCTCTTGGTCACAGTCGGTTCTCAGCCCTGCCAATCCGGTCCAAATCAAAATCAAGAAATGCAGAAGGACTAGAAAAGAACATGGAGGCCAAACCCTCCAATGTCTGTTTTGTCATTTTTGTTCTGCTTAAAAACCGGAAATGTTCTCGCTTTCTCCAAGATGCCTCTAAACTTTTTTGTTTCTTTACAAGTTATGAAAAGCATCCTAAAGGGCAGATAGATGTTGAAGGCTTCATGTTGATAAAGGCTTGTGGGAAATCACATGCTCAAGGGCAGGGGTTTTGCTGCTGTGACTGAGAGAATTCGATAAGTATAGAATTATCAGTGAGCGAGTGTTCCTCTGTGAGCTCTCTGTGTCCAAGGTCCATCTTCCTGAAGGAAGCCGAGCTGTGAAGAGGCTGACAGCGGAGAGGCAGGAAGGGTCCAGGGAGGCCGCCTGACTCAGGCCCTGAACTCAAGGAGTCAGGGATATTTCTCAGAGCTCTCAGAAAGCTTCTCCCACTTGTTAGAGGACAATCTAGGTCATCTGACATGCTGGGAAATGGAGGTCCTGAGGACAGACTGTCTTAGTGAGCTAGCTGGAGCAATTCTTAAGATGCACCGGTGGAGCAGTAAGGGCAGCGGCTCCTTCACACCTCTAAACTAGCTCTTTAAATGGGGGAGTGGGCGACTGGGGGCAGAGAGGAAGGAGGCAGATGATGGCTTTCTTATTCTTATACAAGAATGCCAGTTGCTGGTGCAGCTAGGTGGCACAGTGGATAGAGCACTGGCCCTGGATTCAGGAGGACCTGAGTTCAAATCCAGCCTCAGACATATAATACTTCCTAGCTGTGTGACTCTGGGCAAGTCACTTAACCCCAACTGCCTCACTTAAAAAAAAAAAGAATGCCAGTTATAGGATCATGGATTGAGATCTTTCAGGAGCCATGGATTTCAAATCCATCTTTTAGGTAAGTCAGCTGAGGTCTAAAGGGCATCACTGACTAGCTCAAGTCCATCTACAGACTCAGCAGTGAGGAAGAGGAATCTGATTCCCAGCTCTCTGACTCCCCATCCAGCGTCCTTTCTACTCTGGCTATCTTTTTTGTAAAATTTGTATAATTTAAACTAAATACTTTTAATAGGCAAGGGGACTACTGGTCATTTATTTCTGGGATAACTTCTGGAGGAATAGACCTGTGCTTTCATCTGTCTACCAAGGCAGATCTGCAGCTGTGTGGGGTGGCAGTGGGCCCTGGAGACCAGTCCTGCACTGCCAGTACCTCTGATAACCCAGGGATGATGGTTAGAATGAAGGGAATGGCCCTTGTGAATCATGTGAAGTGTGGGGGCTCTGTCCTGAAAACACCTCCCATCCCTGCTTTGAAATGCTACCCCTACCAAAGCCTTCCGCTATGCCTGGCTCCCCTCCTCCTCCTCCCCACCCCAGTGCTCTTGGTCCTCTTACTTGAACCTGAATTCTCATGTTCCCTGGCCTTTGCCCATTTACTTATTCTTGCCCCTCTCCTCCTCTCTCCAGCCAACTTCATACACTGACATGACTTCAGCCACCTTCTTGATGCAGATGATGACAGAGGGCCACCATCTCCAGTCCTGCTAACTCTTTTTGGCTGTGGATCTCAATCTCCAGTTGCCCATAAGTTATCTCCATCAGGACGCCCTCAGATTCACTGTGCTCTAAGCTGAACCTTGTCTTCTTCCCGAAGCCTGCTCTTCCTTTGAACTTCGCTATTCCTGCCTGTGGCACCATTATTTATTCTGGCTCCCATGTTCAAACCTTTGCTATCTTTAACTCTTCCTTCTCCGTCACCTCTCAATGGTATCCAATTAATTATAAGCCCTGCCAATCTCCCCCTCCAGCACATCTCCATCCATCCCTCCTCTCTAATTGCCAACCCCTTAGTGCAGGCCCCTGTCCACCACAACTCCTCCTTCCTCGACTCTCTTTGCCTTCACAATCCATGCTTTAAACCTGGACCAGATTATTCTTCCTTATCTCAGTTATTCCTCAACTCCCTTTGAAGGCTCCGTAATGTCTACAGAGTAAAGTTAAAACTGTTACTTGGCATTCAAAGCTTTCTAAAATCTGATGCCATGGTACCTTTCTTTTCTTTTTCTTTTTTTTTTCGGCTAGGCAATGGGGTTAAGTGACTTGCCCAGGGTCACACAGCTAGTAAGTGTTATGTGTCTGAGGACAGATTTGAACTCAGGTCCAGGGCCAGTGCTCTATCCACTGCGCCACCCAGCTGCCCCCTTGTGGTACCTTTCTACAATTTAATTCTATAAACATTTTAAAGTACCTATTGCATGCAGAATACTGAGGTAGGCAGGAGATAAAATATTAAATTGAGACAATATTCAGCCCCTGTTCCCATGGAGTCTGCAATTTATTGTGGGTAAAGGAAGGCTACTATAAGACGTACAAAAATAACCATAATAGACGCAAAGTACAAAAGAAAGGATGGCTGTAAGCAACAATAAGGAAGAGGGTATGCCGGATTTGTTCCCTCTTCAGGAATCCCTTCCCCAGGCTTACCTTGGCCCTGTAACCAAGCTGCTCACCCTCCATGACGCCTTCTCCCACTGGCCAGACCAGCATGAGCTGTTCCTTCTCTGAATTCCTAGGGCGCCCACAGTCTGCACACTGGCACTTACCGTCACTAGGCATCTTCTCAGATGTACTCCAAAGTGACTGTAAGCTTCTTGATGGTAGGGACTGTGTCTTTTGGGCAAGTCTCTGAGTCTCCATGTATAAAGGGAGACAGGCAGCAGCAAAGTGGGCCTGGGATTCAATCCTGACTCTCTGCTTGCCTGCTCTGAGACCCTGGGCAAGTCAGGGCACCTCCAGGGGCCTCAGTCCCCTCATCTGTAACATGGGCGGTTGGATCAGACGATCCTAGAGTTCTTCCTAACTCTAAGTCTGTGGTTTTTATATCTGAAATGAGTCCACGACTTCTCTCACAGGTTCTGTGTGGATGGATGGATTCCATAAAACATTGTTACGTCTCTCTGAAGTCCTCCTGTTCAGGGCAGGGATTTGATCACACTAAATTAACGCTCAAAAAAGTTGTTTTGTTTTTGTGTGTGTGTGTGTGGTGTGTGTGTGTGTGTGATGGTGAACACAAAAGGAAAACAAGAAAGAGAAGGCCAGAGGGTGGGAAAAGGCTGGGGACCAAGGCAGAGCGAATTCATATACCCATGTGCTGACAGAACAAGGGCCTTGGTCCATTCTCTGGTCTCTAGCAAAGTCATTACTGTGAAAGAGTTCCTACAGGGAAGACAGCGGACAGCATGAACCAGGGGAAACAAAGATGGAGGCTTGGGTCAGGGCTGCTCCACATTCTTGGCAGTCAGAGCCAGCACTCTTGGGGACAACATGAGGCACTCCAGAGTCCCTGACCGCTTAACAACGGAGGAGTCTGATTCTGCCCACGCAGCCAGGCTATGCAACAAGGGAATGTTGAGGGCTAGCCCCCCTCATCCTGGTGTGTCTAGTCAGTCAATCATCAGGGAACACAGGGACCTGTGGTGTTGTGGGTGCCCCAAGTCTGAGAGGCTCAGAGCCCACATGGCTTGGGCTTTCTATTGGCTGTAGCCCTGGAAGCTGTGTCAGAGAAGCGGAGGCCAACCAGGTTTTGGGAAGAGACAAATATTCACTAGAGAATCTGGTGCCGAAGAAGTACAGGGGTTGTGCGCGGGGAGAAAGCTGTGTCGGGGCAAGGGCAGCTGCATCAGGACACATCTGTCCTAGAGTTACTGAAGCCACACACCCACGGCTGAGCAGGGTGAAGGAGCATCCCAAGAGATCCCATGTATCCCAAGAGGCATACATTTTAGCTTAACAGGGGAAGACCCTTTTATGCAAGAGTTGTACAAAATGAGTTATGAACTAGGAGTCCCAGTCAGACACCCCAAATGGACACTGGGACACAAGGCACACTGAAGTCAAATGGCAGGGAGAAAATTCAGGTGGCATCCATGACAGACAGACAGGTAAGCTTCACTAGCATGAGAGCTGATGACCTGCCCTCTGAAGCTTTATACTAATCAATCATCAAACACTGTTTGATGTACGCAAACGCTCAGAAAGGTGTCTTTCCTAGGGCTACAGTCAGGGTACTCACGCACCCAGGTGAGTGTTCATCATCTTTGCACAGTATTTGCACATGGCCTCCAGGTCGTTCAGCTGTCCTTGGAGAAATGAGATTTGAGCTTCTAATTCTTCTTCCTAAAATGAAAAACATCAAGATATTCAAATAAAAATAAAAAAATTAAACTCCCAACATGCTCAAACAGGTTGGAAAGCCATAAAGAGACAAAAATAATCTGATTTTGGTCTATGACAGAAATCTGTCAGGAGGTAGGAAAAAAGGGAAGGCCTAGTCTGTGAATTTCATAATTTAGTGGTGGTTTCATATACTCAACCAATATTAAGCAATAAAATTGAGAAAAAATTGCTTAATAAATATTCAATGAATTTCACAACAGCTCCATGCTCACTGGAGGCAGGTTATTATAAATTATGTTTTTTCTAGTGAAAGGCAGGTGTATGAAATGAAATCCCAAGAATCTACATGAAGATGATAAGGAAGATCTCTTAAAATGCTTAGTGGTCCCAAAGCACTCAACTCTCTTTGATTTTTATTTGAGAACACACATAAGGGCCCATAAAACAAGCCATACATATCCTTTGTACCACAAAATGGGAGAGAATAATGCAGGGATAAATGTTTTAGAGACAATTTGGAGGTAAACACATTAAGAGCTAAGTACAATTATCTGGATAACATATAAAAGGGTAACTAATAATAGGCAAATATTTAATTTTTTTGAAACTAAATATGTTACATTTTTACTTAAAATTTTGAGTTCCAATTCTATTTTTTTTTTTTTAAGAAAAATTTTTGGCTGAAAGTTGCCCAGCTGCCCTAAATATCTGCTCCAGCTCTGGGCAAATTATACTGCAAATGGGAAGGCCCTGACAGAACAGAAAGAGTTTAGGTCTATAAACAGAAATGACCCAACAGCAGACTGCATGTCTATTGTCCCAGGTCTAAGGCTCATCATCAGATTGGCCACAGGAACTCATATTAACTCACAAAGTCTAGTCTGGCAGGTCCAGGCTGAGATCTTTTTTGGTTGTAGGGTATGTAGACCAAAGAATTATGGATCTTGTAGTTCCTGAAGGATTTCCCACAGAAGAATGCTAACTAGACTCGGAAGATTACAGACATTTTCCTAAGAGAAACGCAAGATGCTCTTAGCATTTACTGAAGGCTAAGTTAGTACAAATAGAGATTATTAGTAGGGAGCAGGAGTGGGGTAGGGAACTGATCTTATAATTTCAGATGCCTGGCTTCTCAGATATCTGTGATCTCTTTCTACAGTTAATGAGAAAGAAAAATCAAATTAGAAAGCTATTCTTTTTCCCTTTGGGGAGTTGGTGCAGTTTGCTTTAAGAATGGATTTGTGTAATTTAATGGCTGGAAAGGTGACTTAGAGCAGGTGTTTTTCATTTTAGCAACACAGATGTTCCAGGGCTGAAAAGCTCTACTTTTATCTGCTGGTACCTCTAGAAATGGTGCCTTAGGAACTTACATCAAAAATGTTTTTGAGAGAAAATGGACACAGCTGCAATTTCAGAAATGAATTTTTGCAGAAGAATCTAATGAAGGCTGGGGTTTCTTTGTCACAGAAGATACTGATGCCTTCTAGACACTATACTCACATTTAGGCAGATAGCTCCACCAGTGAGGAGGAAAATGAGGACTGCTTGAGATCGTGTAAGCTTTCAAAGTGATTTTACAGGATCCCCTGCTTTAGTCCCCTTCTCCTGCCTATTTGTCACAGGGCCAGGGACATACATATTAGAAACAATGGCAGAGAGAGGTGGCCTAGAACAATGGAAAGAGCCCTGAGGTTGGGAGACTTGGGTTCTAAAAAGAATAATAGTAATAATGATAATAGCTATTTATGTATTATATTTATATGATGATAATAGTGTTTATAGAGTACTTTAAGGTTTGCAACACACTTTATATATATGTCATTTCCTTTGAGCCTCAAGATATCATCCCTGGAAGGCAGGTGCTATCATTATTCCCATTTTATAGGAAAAAAAATCTAAACTAAAGCTGTGTAATATACCTCATCTGTCCCACAGGGTTATTGTGAGAACCTACAGGGACAGGATACATACAAGTGCTTTGCAGTCTCTAAGAGGCAACACAAATATACAGAATCACTATTGGCTACGGTAGAATGTCGACATGAGTTCCCAAGAGCTGCTATCCATCCACTTTAATCCCTCAGACTCGATCTCTGTCAATGCCACACTATTAGGTACAGTAAATACCTTCATCAAATAAAACAAGCAACAGATATACTTGTTGAGCTTACAATATAATTCTGGGGGGATTCCTGGCATAAAAATTCCTCCCCCTATGAAGATCAACAACTCATCTGCATCTAGAGCCCTAGGGGCACTGAAAGGTTAAATAACATATCCACAGTCAAACAAGAAGCATTTACTAATTGCCTACAATATGTACTGAGCTTGGTGCCCAGGGCCCAAGGACCAAAGGGGAAAGCAAAATATACACAGAAAAGTGAATACTAAATACACACACACACACACACACACACACACACACACACACACACACATACTTTATACACACACACACACATACATATACATACTTTATACACACATATAAATTTTATACAAATATAATATACATATATACAAAGCAGTTATATATGTATATATGTGTATATATAATATCTATCTATCTATCTATCTATCTATCTATCTATCTATACACAGACACACACAATATGCACATATATACCTATCTATATATACCCACACATGTAGATAGAGAATAATTTCCAGGCAAAGGGGGGAATCAGGACACATTTCCTGTAGGAGACGGCCTTGTGCTGAACTTTGAAGGAAGCTAGCACTTCTGCAAGGCCCAGGACAACGAGGATGAACTGGCGGGGGAAGCGCATTCCAGGCAAGGGGGAGCGCCTGCCCAAAGATGGGAAGTAGGGACACAGAGTGATATGGAAGCAGAAGAGTAAGCAGCCAGCCCCAGTTTGGCTGGAACCTGACGTGCATGGCGGGAAGTCACCAATAACGAGCCCAGAGAGGTTGTCTGGAGCCAGATCGTTAAGAACTCTGAAGGCATTTGTATTTTACCCATTAGGGATGAGGGAAGGGGCAGGAAAGAGACGCTGTCAGACCTATGGCTTTCAGAATAGCAAGATGGCCTCAGGGTGGAGGGTGGAGGATCACGACCAGAATTTGTGAGGCTCCCTGGAGTAACTGCTAGTGCTCACATAGCTCAATGAGGTTTGTAAAGTACTCTGCACACATTATCTCACTGATTCTCACAACAGCCCTGTAAAGAGGACGCTATTCTTTCATTTTACAGCTGAGAAGACTGGAACTAAGAGGCAGCGAGCAGCTTGCCCCTCAACAAGCAGGCGGGATTTGAACACAGGCCATCCCAACACTAAGTCTAGTCCTCTTTCCACTCCGACTGTTCGGCCACCCAGCTGGTTAATGGGGTGGGACTGGAGGAAAGGAGGGATCTCAACAGAGAGAGATGGGAAGAAATGGGAAAGGGAGTCATTCCAGGAACAGAGGAAAGCTGAAACACGAGAACAGTCTGTCAACAGGAAACCACAACTTCACACAAGTCCAATTTGGCTAAAATGTAGGGCGGAATTGTAAGATAAGACCAGAAAGGCAGCTTAGAGTCAGACTGTGGTGCAAATGCAGGACGTGTTTCAGGAATCTCTGTATAAAGTAACACTTCTCAGTCTTTAAGAATTCCTATGCTCATGTTGATGGGCAAGGGTATTCGAGTGGGAATCCAATTTTAAATCCTGGCTGTTGTATGATACTAAGCAAATCAGTGAGTCCCAGTTACCCCATTTTAATCACAGGGCTTGAACTTGGTAAGTTCTAAAGCCCTAAAATCCAAGACTGATTAAGTTTTCAAACATCACTAAGACTAAGTAGGTGTGAATCGGACTTGGGATCATTTGACAACTACTCAATGTGCTCATTTTACAGATCAGCCAGATGAGTCCCCAGAGAGGTGAACTGACTTCCCAGGGTCGCAAAAGTAATCAAAAGCGTGGCCAAGACTCATACTCAGAATTTTCATTTTCCATTCAAGGCTAATTCTATCACACTATTTTTTGTCACTAAAATTTGAGACTTGTAGCTTTGTTTCCTTTAATCCAAAAAGGATGATGGAAGAACTGAAAATTCAAGTCATTCTTTTCATTAGGTCAATCTTATAAATATAACACTATAGAAAAACAAATGCTTAGCTAACTGCTCTGAAGAACCAGTTGGGGTCAGATGCTTAAAAACAGGAAAATTTAACTTAGGAGCTGAAGCATTTCAGTAGCTCAGGGTCATATTCTAAAAATGACTTTAAACCAATTTATTTCATTAATTTGATTGTAAGAGTTTTCTAAAAATAAAACACAAGGCAATTTATGGTATTTATTCTTATGTATATTTGCTCATTCATCTTAGATATCTAGCCAGAGCAGAGGAGCTTTAAAGTACCAGTTTATACGATTTCTCATGAGAGACATATTTTCTAGTTTTAGACTTTAGCACATGGTATAGGCGAGCATGATGCTAGCCCTGACGAGAAAGCTTAGGCAGGCATTCCATCGTTAAAATGGTATTTGTGATATTAATCTATTCACATTGGGGTTGTTAGGACTTGAGTTCTTAAATGGCATGACCACTTCCGGCTCTCCTTTGGCATGTGAGAGAATCTAGATACAGGAAGCAAAAGACCGATGAGCAAAGAAGCATTTGCTTTTGTCTTCACTCTGTTCTTTGGAGACCACCATGCTGGAGGACAGGAAGCTCGCGGTAGCTGACCAGAATTTCTGAAGTCTCAGAGGCCGGCCGTGCTCTGTCTGCACTCAGAGGCATCTAATGCACTTTCATTTAAGATTTTTTTTCTCAAACAAAAATTACTAGACATCAGTTATTCCTCCTGGTCTCTTTATTCTTCCTATTACAACACAGATTGGTGTGACTTAGGAGACAAAATTCTGGGGTTTGGTCTGGGCGACTGGGAGGGAAGAAGGCTTAATGCCCAAGCTCCCAAAGGAAAGTCTCATTTCCAGTGCAATTAAACATACAAGATGACAGAGAGAGAGAGAGAGAGAGAGAGAGAGAGA